TTCTTTCTTTTTGTCTTTCAGGTTTGGTGCCTGCACTGCTGTTTTCTGCCCTGTCCGCTGGAACAGGTTCGCCTGTGAAAGGTTCTTGCTCCTTTGCAAGGGGTGCGTGACTGTCTCCGGGATTGCATTCCTGCCGCACTGTGTAACTCTCTCAGCTTTGTTATCCTTCTCGGGCAACCGTTGGATGAATGACCGGATTGGATTTCGGCGGTGTGGCAGCGATCTCTCTATTCAGTTGGGGCGGAGGGCATATGTCAGGCGCCAAAAATCAATTTCATGTCACATCCTTCGCTCCTCATGCTTTTGTTTCTTGTCCTCACGTGGTCAGCTCCCCGCTGACTGAGCAGCATGACCAGCATCATGTTCGCGCTTGAAGAATAATTCCCCAAAAGGTTTACTGTTAGGGCTTCTCACTTCTTTCTTAAGATGTGTCCCCCCGCTCTGTACTGCTGTGTCCGTCTCTGCCTTGCAATCCTTTACATTTATCTCCCAGCTCTGGACGTCGCAAGCTCTAGTTTCGATTTTGAAAACACAAACTGTTTGGGGTCTACGGTGGTGTAATTTAAAATTAATCAAAAAAAACTAAATTGGCCTCATACCCGACTTGTTAGGTCTCAACATTATGATGCGTTTCCAAAATATTGACATGGAACCTGCTTGCTAATACGACGCTAACGCGGAGTAGGCACATGCTGACAACAAAATGAACAACTGGAAGCCGAGCAATGAAAAATATACCAGCATAGTAAGCATAGCAACATAGACCCCAAACAGTTGCAGCATTTTTGCGTCAATTGGTGGAAACGTTTGTAACTATCTAGGTGTGTAATTTAAGAGGGAGACCCAGTGTTCCAATGGAGTTTGTTTTATTTCCTTTTTTCCACGGATATTCCAATACACACCATATTCCTACAACCTCCAGCTGTTTGGGAACAACATGTAAACAAACAACGGTTTCTTGGGAGCAAGATGATATCACATGGCGAGACACAAACGCAGAGAAGAAAAGGGGCCCACGGTGCGCGGACACAGCCTGGAGAAGGCCGGGCAAGGCGGAGAAGGCAGGCAGGGCGCAGCCAAGCAGGACGCACAGACCCAGACAAGGCCCGGACAAGGGCGGATGCCATTGCAACAGCAAACTGCCATAGAACCCCAACAGTTTCAGCTGGGTTTTTGGCATCATTTCCTTGAATTCCAGTGTTGGTGGATTTTTCTTCAAGCGCTTTCCTCTATGCGAGCAATATGTAAGCAAAACTAGATCAGCAGGGTGGCCCGAAAGCACAGCAGGAAATGACAATGGTGAGGATGACGATGAGAATGTTGAGTCTGAGTCATTGAGAAAGATGACGACGATGATGCTGATGGTGGTGGTAATAGTGATGAGGAGCACAACGGCGCTAATGCCAAGCCACTGGACACCGCGAATCATGCCGTTCCCCAGCGACACGCCGAATTTAGACCAGTACGCATTCCTTCCACCAATGGCATGGACTCATCCAAACGCACTTTCCACCGAACCCACGCAAAACTGCATCGCACCATCACAGACGTAATTTGGCCAATGGTGTGCCACAAACAAGATACCAACAATGTAACCGAATGTAGCCTCGTGGGCACCGCCAATCATCCCCCTCCCCAGCGACACGCCGAGTTTACACCAGCATGTTTCCTTCCCCAAACGCACAGACTCACACAAATACTTTCTCCTCCAACCCCACGCAAAACCGCGTAGCACAGCGACATGGCAGACGTCATTTGGCTACACAGTCACGCCACAGACTAGGCGCGCAGCAATGTAACACCAAGCCTCCTGGACACCGCCAATCATCCCGCTCTCCGGCGACGCGTCCAATTCAAACGAGGAGCAGGACGCTTTCCTTCCCCCAATGCACCGACTCACGGACAGACAGACAGACAGACAGACAGCCAGACAGACAGCCAGACAGCCCGCCAGCCAGCCAGCCAGACAGCCAGACAGCCAGACAGCCAGACAGCCAGACAGCCAGACAGCCAGACAGCCAGACAGCCAGACCAGCCAGCCAGCCAGCCAGCCAGCCAGCCAGCCAGCTAGTCAGCCAGCCAGCCAGCCAGCCAGCCAGGAGGCAGGCAGGCAGGCAGACAGACAGACAGACAGACAGACAGACACACACACACAGACACACAGACACCACCCGGCCAGCCAGCCAGCCAGCCAGCCACCCACCCGGCCAGCCAGCCAGGGAGGCAGGCAGACAGACAAACAGACAGACAGAGAGACAGACAGAGACAGACAGAGAGACAGACAGAGAGGCAGAGAGAGACAGAGAGACAGACAGACAGCCAGCCAGCCAGCCAGCCAGCCAGGCAGCCAGGCAGGCAGGCAGGCAGGCAGACAGACAGACAGAGGAGACACCAGCCAGCAGCCAGCCAGCCCACAGACAAACAAACAAGCAAACAAACAAGCAAACCAACCAGCCAGCCAGCCAGCAAGCAAGCAAGCAGGATGACGACGATGATGATAGCGTTTACGATGACGCTAGTAGCGATGACGCTGATGATAGGTCATCAAGAAGATGATCCTGAATGTAAACTCTATGGTGACGATGATGATGATGATGATGATACAAAGGATAGTTGGACGGTTGAAGTTGGTAGCCGTTCTCCTTCGCAGAACGACCGATGATATCCTTTTGAAACGCTGCACCACTGTTGTATTCAAAGACACAAGAAAACAAACCTGGACAAGGCGGAACTGTTTTCTTCTCCAGGCTGCCCATCCCCGGACAAGTGCCTGACCACAATGCTTACTACGAACGAAGTGAGCGAACGAACGAACGAACGAAGAGGGCGGAAGGGACGCCAGCATGCACGATCCTCTTCCTGTGAAGTTGGACAGACAGACAGACAGACAGACAGACAGACGTGGGATGGGTCCGATCGCGCAAACATTGACTGTGCTTATTGTTCAGGTTCATTTGCATATATAGGTAAACCAGGCGCGTTCTGCGCGCTGCATCGCGCCAAGAATAGAAAGAATGCGTGGGCCTGTAGGAACAGGTGGTGTGCAAAAATAGTGTCAATCAAAGCAGCCAGGTTTGTTCATCCCTCATGCTCTACTTCTTTTAATCAGTCTTGTCGATGGTGTTCAGCCAGATAGCTGTGTAATCGTGTAATCGAACCAAAAGCGGTTGAAATGATGCACAGGTACACATTAAAGGTTAAAGGGGTGTGCGTGTGTGCGTGTGTGCGTGTGTGCATCTCATACATCATACATCTGATAGTTGTAAGTAAGTGACTGAAAGTGCAAAAAAAGGCTTGTACTTGTACCAGGTACAAGATACGATGTATTATATTCTATTGCCCCGATGAAAGTGTGCTTTCTGAAAAGCAACGAGACCCGTTCAACCAAAAATCATCAAACACACAAGCCTTGCCAATCTATCAAAATGAAAGGCTTCATCTTCATCACTTTCTACAGTATTGTGTTCTTCGTTGCCACTTTTGCTGGCTTCCTCGAACTTTGGGATTCGGACACAACGAGCCAGTGCCCTCCCCTCATCAGGGAGTCCAAATCTGGAAGCGACACTGGAAAGATTGCGAAGGATCTGCTCAGCCTCAGAACATTCCACATTGCTTCAGATCTTGCCAACGCATACTAATGAAAAACCATCACGCCTCAGCAATCTCAACCAAAGCAGCTCGATAGTCCTGTCCAAAAGTGTTGCACTGGACTGGAGCTGCACAAACCTCCAGCCCGTTGTCTCCAAACAAGCGGAAATTGGCTGCGATGAGAACCCTTGGAATTTTAATCAACTGTGGGAACTGCTGACTAAAAATGGTAGCCTCAAACGAACAGGTGGCCATGCGTGAGGTTTCTTTTTGTAATTTTAACCCAGCAAAAAGTTCTGTTCACTTTTGGCCGCTGCCCCACCTCAGCCTCAACAACCCTGACCCTGCCCCACATCTGAAGTATCATGGTAGCGGTGTTCTGGTAATTCCTTTTTTGGGGCCCGTGGCCTATACCGTGGCCCTGCCTTCTCACTTGATTAAGTCGGACCTACTTAATTGAGGGAGTATATAAGCTACTAGCAATAGGAAATCCCAGCCAGGACGCAGGATAGCTCACGCACTATTGGTTTGACGGTTCCTGGATTTTAGGGAAACTTAACTATTGATTTTTCTGCTTTACCAAGTCAAGCGGTGGTCTTTTTTGGTGTGTGTGCGTGTGTCTCACGCTCCGTATCCAGGAGTTCACCACATCGAGGTTTTTCTTGCAGGGGGCAGGAGCACCATTGCAAGTCCTTTTGCGAATCACCAGCCGCGCTCTTGACATCATTCTACAACATCTCTTCTCCATTCCTCAGCTCTGGCACCGCTTCCACGCTTACCTCAACAATGTCCCTGAGGACATCACCCTTCATCCCACTAACGACGATTTAATGGGTTTCTTCAACTCCGTTCCCCAACACAGACTCCTTGAGGCTGTTCACAGCCTCATTCAACATTGGCAACAACACCAATCCACACCCACAATCACCATAGACATCCAAGCCACCCGCAACCCCTTCCATCAAGCTCACATTGGGCGTCACCACATCCGGCACCCCACCCAACGCGCACTCCATGTCACCGACATCCCCACCATCGTGGCTTTCGCCCTTGACACATGCATTTTTCGGGCCTGTAGCCAAACCTACAGACAAATTCGCGGCGCTGGGATTGGCTCCCAACTGTCACCGGCCCCTTGCAACTTTTCCATCACCCTCATTGAGCGCGCCTGGCACCAACTCCACTACTCTCCATTTCAACTACTTCCACTACGTTGACAACCGCTTCATCACCCACAATGAGCAATTTCTCACACACCCAGCAATCCAAACCCTTATCCACCAAGACTTCTTCGGTGACCCCTTCGGTGACCCCATCAAGCTTGAGACCGTTGAGGACTTCCACCTTCTTGGCTTCAACATTGACCTCACCAATCGTCCTGGAAATCCGGGGCCCCACATCAGCTGGCAGCCAAAGACTGCGTGCCTAGCGTCACGCATCCACACGATCTACAAGTACACCTACCCCTCCACAGCGGCTGCTGCAGCGGCTGAACACCTAGCCAACTTGTACATCGCCAAAGGGCACTCCACCACCGAGCGTCGACGCTTTTTGAACATCAAAAAGACCTGCTACTGGAGCGAGGAGCGGCATGTTGTGTGTGTACCCTCTGGAGTCACGAGGTTCCTGTTGGATTGGTTTACCTTTTGATTTCTTTAGCCAACGAAGACGCCAGTGTTGCATCTGTGAAATCAATCCAGGACGCCGGATTGACGTACCTGCTTGGAGAGAAACCTACTTAATGGACAAGCTGTTCCACTTCGGTGTTTTGCAGTAATCTTCTAGCGCTGTAAAGGGCTAGTGCGTCGACGCCTCGCCTTGGATCTTTTGCGAGCTTTGGGGGCTTTTGCAGGCGTTACGGTCGCTAGGTCTTCACACGCTCACCCTGGTTTCTTAGGTTTTTCACTTAGGCTGGCGCGTGGCGCCACATTGCGTCTCTCCTCGTGAGAGCCCGGGGTGCCCCGAGGAGTAGCCCCTGTCAACTCGTCGAACGGGGGTCAGTCTTTATCTCCCATGCCCGAAAATGTACGTGCCCAGAGCGGGCGAAGTAGGTTTAGGCCAAAGTCATTTGGAACCTGTCAGAGCCTCAGAGTGTAACGAGTTCCTCCCCCCTGTTCCACCCGCCATGCCACCATCTCCTGCTGGCCTCGTACCGCTGGAGGGCATCCCTATGGTGGCTCAGGCAGTACTTCATCGGGGAATTCTTCATGTACATGCTTTGTTGGAACTCATTTCGGGGATGCTTCGTTCTCGCTTGGCGATTACCTCCGCTCCCTTTCTGGAGCAGGTCACAAACCCTCACTCTCGACTCTGCCATCCTCCAATCGATGCAGGCCATCCATACCGCCCTCCACTACACTCATGAGTTGATGATTGATGACTATCTTCGGCTTGATCCACACCTTGAACCAGAGCCCCGACCAACTTCAAGCTGGACAACTCACCTTCGTGGACCCTCGCATATTCACCTCTCTCGACGTCCGCCCTTCTACGACACGACGAACCGCTCATGGCATTGCGGTTGCCACTATACATGGTCGCGTTCCACTCCCAGGGCTACTTCGACTCGGTCGCGCTCCCGCTCACGTATGAACTCTCGCTAGGTCGATTGTTTCACACTGATAGTGGACTTTCCACTGATCCAAAAAGATTCCACAACGATTCGTTCTGGGTTCACCATTTTCTGTCTTTTCAAGTTTGTTTCCCTTCCTTCATGTCTTTCCAAGCTCACCCTGGCTCTAGCTGCTTTGATATCAACGCCCCCGGTTACTTACGTACTTCCTTTCCTTTCATGATCACCTTCATTCACAGATTTTTCCTACACCGTTAACCGACATGACCATGAGTGATTTCTTTCCTTTTTGCGTCCTTTTCCGCCCTTCGACTCGTTTTAGCCATGGAACATCGAGTCTCCTCCGAATCTTCTGATGGTCGCCGACGCAGACACACTGGCCGCCCGGAGCCATCTCGATCGCGTGATCGTGGCCTACCTGATGCGGATGTCCCAGACTATGACGCCGACGAGTCAGCTCCAAATCACCCTGCACCGGGCGCTGAAATTGTTGCGGAACCACCTGAATCTGCACCTACCAGCCCATCAGTGGCTTCCCCATCTCCATCGATATACCCAAAGTTTCCATCTCCCTTCACCGAACCTAAACGAGCGCTTACGCCCCAGCTGGCAATATGTCGCACGGAAGATGCAACGACCACTTTCTCAGATACAAGCAAGATGGGCAGACCTTCTTGAACTTCAACGTGCGATTGTTGACGACCCTGAACACTTGACCTGACCCTGCACTAATGAGAGTTTCCTCGGGTCCAATTTCCCCTGAGCTCGTTTGTGTTGGGAGAAAACCTAGTGTCGTTTTTTCTGGTTTCCTTTTTCTGTTGGTTTTGCCTGTTTTTCCTGTTTGTAGGAGTCACACATTTTGGTTGAGATCAACCCTCGCTGTCTGGCATTGCAAATTTTTCCCACAACATTCTATGTCCGACTTATGTTATTGAGCAATTTCGGCCCAGTCTCCACCTCCTTGTCTCTCCGTTTTGTTCTTGCCCCTTTCGTCTACCTCACGCCGCCCCGATCAACGACTGCTTCACGGCGTCACCTCGACATCGATGATGACATCCTCTATGGAAGCGGCTGATACTACGATGCCGGACCATCCCACCGATGCCGCGGACGCTGTGCTCGCATCCTCTCCAACAGGCCCTTCCCCAACTGCCACGCACCTTCTCAAAGTGACGAGCTGTACCAAACTCCTTCTGCCCCTTGGCCCGGAGGGTGTTCTGGTCGAACTTGAACCAGCTGAATTGCCCAGTCTTGATCCCGCTGACCTCAATCCAATACAATCACAGACGTTTCCATGTTGCACCCGAACATGAGGAGTGGACTTGTCGAGACCTTGCCACCAGTCGTCATTCCTACACCATCGCTTGGGACCATCCGAATGCAGCGTACTTTAAACAGACCTCCGGCTACTTCCTGGACCAACATCCTTATACACGATGGCATGATTTTCACTATCGGGTTTGGTATACTCGAAGATGGGGGCGCAACCTAGTCTCCCAATTTGGGAAGTTTGTGATCGTTGGGAACAGGCAGTATTTGAACAGGAACAACGACTTTTGGCCCAACAACAGCGGACATTATTGGATTCTCATCCTCGGAGGTCAAACGCCAGGCAGCTGAATCCTTGGAAAATGAACGTTTGGGTGCAAAATCTGGTTCAACGATTCACGGACTTGGACGTTTCTGGGAATCCTGAACTTCGCAGCCTCACACCTGAACGGCAGCATCAATTCATCGATGGCTTGATCCATAGCCTTTCCAGCTACCAGCAGGACTTGAGCGCTGCCTCAGCTGTCGGCCCAGTCCTTTCGGCTCCACGTCGTGAACCCTCGCAAGCTGCGGGCCCCGCTCAGATTTCTGGCATGGACACACCACTTGATCCTACGGTCCCCGCCGAGAACGTTCCAGTACCCAGCTTGGGATCGGGAACATAGGGAACTATGTTCCTTCTTCCTCGGTGTCTCCACCCTCTACGCTACCTCCCCCATACCCTGACCATGCTGGAGACCACGCCTGAGCCCCGGTTAACACCTTTTTGGAGGCCGTACGTGCTTCCTTCCTTTCCATTTCAATGGTACTCCCTTCTCACCTCGATTTGCTGCAGCGCAGCGGCTGTGAAAACAAAAACACACATGTATTCGTGAACCCACTCTACCCTCAACCCGATTTTCCACTTTGTGATGACTTTCTTTTCCCTTTCATTCCATTGACCGTACACTGGCTTGATCCTACCACTTTGACGACAGCAGCAAGTTTTGGGCTCAATTACCTTTGATTTCGACTCTCTATCCGACTGTGTTTCCTCCCTGGCTCTTCGCCTGTCCATGATTGCCTCTCCCGGACTTCGTGTTCCAGAACCCCTGACTCAGCACTGACCGGCAAGCAATTCGACCTTTCGAGACTTTGGGTCCGGTCCCTAACCTGCTGACCGTTCGTTTCGAGCTCGACATCAGCCTCCTGGTCCACCAGCCCTTGAACTTTATCACCGTCACTTTGGAGCAAGGAATACGCGGTCGACGACCTCACGGACGTTATCTTCTCACGTCTAGAATCGCTCCTCTTTCTGGATGGCTCTGCCCTCTTCGCAGACTCGCAGGTCTGGGAGGTACCCTTTTCTTATACTCTGGAGAACTTAGTGCTCTACTACGTGAATTCCAGACGTCTTCGCCCCATCGGCTACATTCATGAGTTCTCCCATGAAGGCACTCCTTTCCCGCACCGCCCTCTTCATACGATTGCACCACGACGTCATGACGATGTCATTGGACAACTTCGTTTACCCCTGACTGCATATCACCGTTTTTCATAGACCCCATTTTCACCCAACCTGACTCTCGTCTGGAGCTTAGCTGAAAAGGACGCCTCCCCTAGGGGGGGCGTGTGTGTGTGTACCCTCTGGAGTCACGAGGTTCCTGTTGGATTGTTTTACCTTTTGATTTCTTTAGCAGAGCGTGCCAGGGATGCACACTGGACTGGCACCAACGAAGACGCCAGTGTTGCATCTGTGAAATCAATCCGGGACGCCGGATTGACGTACCTGCTTGGAGAGAAACCTACTTAATGGACAAGCTGTTCCACTTCGGTGTTTTGCAGTAGTCTTCTAGTGCTGTAAAGGGCTAGTGCATCGATTCCTCACCTTGGATCTTTTGCAAGCTTTGGAGGCTTTTGCAGGTGTTATGGTCGCTAGGTCTTCACATGCTCACCCTGGCTTCTTAGGTTTTTCACTTAGGCTGGCGCGTGGCACCGCATTCACATCAGAACGCTCCGTATCCAGGAGTTCACTACATCGAGGTTTTTCTTGCAGGGGGCAGGAGCGCCATTGCAAGTCTCCTGCTAACGAAGACACTTGCAATCGGTGGTGTCACCAGACCTGATCAGTCTGGCGTACCTGCGTCGAACACACTGACACCAATGGTCCACCCTTCGCAGCTTTTTGTTTCCATGGTGTTTTCCTCATGATACTTTCCCACAAAACCAGGTTTCCCTCCGCCGTTCTGCAGCTGCTGACGTGCATGGCTTCTCGAACAGATGTTCAAACACTTTAAATGCTGTTGCCGACTCAGCCGCCGTGCGTTTCCCTCGTCCATTTCACTGTGGATTATGATTAACTGCAAACCCTGTGACTAAGTGTAAATATATATATATACATATACATATACATACATACACACAGGGAGCATATGCATGCGAGTGTCCTAGAACGTGCGTGAAGTGGCCTACGCCACTATGAGGTCTTGTTGAGGCACCTGCGCGGTCGACTACGCGAGGTCTTTTACACCGCGCCGTCAGAAGCCTTGGATGAAGAAGATGTGTTGAAGCCAAACTCAAAGACGCGGACACGAAGCCTGCAAAGCCTGTGCCTGCTGATGATTCTTAGAAGCGGCTTTGAACGGCTTGGCCTTAGTCTCAACATCCCCAGAAGGGGCCACAGGCCGATGAGGTTGAATTATGCCTTTCTGTGCCATATGTCTGTGCACAAGTTCGTTTGGCTGCGAAATGGCTTAGATGGGCGGGAACTACTGTAGATGGAGCACATGGAAGACTACAATGGGCAAAACCTTTCCGAAAGAAGTCGGGGCCTCGACGGGCATATGCGAGGTCTGCGCGAGGACTGCACGGATTTGCCTGCCTTCTTACACACTTTTGGACCAGTACACAAGTAATCGTATAATGCACATATATACAGTAAATGTTAAAGAGAGGTTCACCCAGGGCATAAATGAAAATGATGAGTTCAATAGAGCCAGTTGCCACCCCATTCCAACACGGCCATCCGTGAGCATGTAGCCCCCCCTGGAAAGCATTTGCCAATGCCAATGAGCTACTGCCTCATGTTTCTCAACTACCCCACACAGTGCCCAAGTCAATGGAGGGAACTCCTATGATTCTTTCCAATTCATTTAGCATGCTTTGAAGGCTATTGCACCCACTCTATGACTCTGTGTCGCAAACCATAACTGTGCAATCCTGCATGTGCGGAAACATCTGATTATGTGTACCTACGCCAATGCCTACGCAGCCCTCCGCCCCGAAGCAAAACAGCCCGTGCAACATCAAAGGCTTCATAGCCTAGAAAAACATGTCTACCGAGTCCACCTCCTCGAAAGTTGATACTTCCCCCTTGCCCGAGGGGCATGACTCCAACAAGGAAAAGAAAATCATGCGTCACTTGTATAGCTTGGTCGAAAAAGCATTGCTTTTGGTCTTGTAAAGCTTGGTGGTTTACATTGAGAAAAGTATCCGACAGTCCTTCGAACCTCTGAGGTACAGGAGTCGAGCCAATTGAGAAGCCGCCAGCCTCTCCTCACTGACGCATCATACGCTGTTATAAAAACACAACTTGGAGCCATCATTATTCATGATATGCTGCATGCTTGCACAAAAACGCATGCTTTCCGGTAGACCTACTTCCTCAAGGGATTATGTGCAATCTCGAGTGGAGTGACTCTAGAGCAGTGATCGGACGCCACTGCAAAATGCCACGAAAATTGGGAGCTCTACACAACTCGATTGAGAAGAGGGAACGAAGCGAGAGAATACTTAGCTCATGCCCACCACCATCTGTAAGAGAATTGTTATCAATGGAGACGATGCTGTACACCAATAAGACGGGAACAATCATTGCGTCAGGCTACATTTTCCACCAACTCAAATGATGCTTGCAATGCGGCTGTCCAAGGTGGCGGGCCAAACCAATACACTATCAGTTCGTTAAGGAGAAGTGGGGGTCCGAATTGATTCTATCACACAAAGTGGGGGGTGTTCTTTTGTAGTGATATATCAATTCGGTCCTTTGGAATTCCAAGTCTTGAGACGTCACAGCCATGCAACTGATTCAAACGACCAACCCAAGTCGCTTGTCAAACCTTGGTCTGTGCCGTGAAATGGTTGTTGAAAACTTCAATTACAGTCTACAGTGTTTTGTGTGCACAAGTGAAGCTCAATACAAGTTGCACCAACCAATGTGTGTGTGTGTGCGTGACCCATGTGCTTGCAGTTAGGAGAGTAACTTGACGACAAAGTTTGATGAGGGTGGTGAATAAAATCCACTAAAGTAACCATCAACCAAGAGTTAACTGTGACAAGGTCGAGAACAATCCAACTCATCTATCCGAATGTTTTTTCATTGGGGAAATGTCCTGTCCTGGCTGTGGCAAGTAGCGCTGTCCTGACAAAACTGCACAAACTAATCAAGTCAAGTTGAAGTATTCCGCTGGGGATGAGTTCTATTTGATACGACGCATGGGTCTTGATGCTACCATGTCCTCAGACAAAGCACGAAGGTAGAAAAGTAGAGAAAGTTGTTCCAGCCTGCCACGGTGGAAAAAAACAAGATGGAACCCACGAACCCGAATGTAAACACGCACTCGAAAACAAACACCCAAAGAATTTTCGACGCTCTTGTAGGAGACACTTTTCTGGGACACTCTTGTCGGTCACTCTGAGTCACTCTTGTCCGACACTCCTGTGGGGCACTCATGTAGGACACTCTTGTCGGACACTCTTGTGGGGCACGGGACACTCTGGTTGGACAATCTCGTGGGACACTCTTGTCGGACACTCTTGTGGGGCACTCTTGTAGGCCACTCTCGTGGGATACTCTTGCGGGACACTCTTGTGGGACACTCTTGTGGGGCACTCTTGCGGGACACTCTTGTATGACACTCACTCTCGCAAGGCACTCTTGCGAAACTCTCTTGTAGGGCACGGGACACTCTGGTTGGACAATCTCGTGGGACACTCTTGTAGGACACTCTTGTGGGACACTCTTGTACGTCACTCTTGTGGGACACTCTCGTAGGACACTCTTGTTGGACATTCTTGTGGGGCACTCTTGCGGGACACTCTTGTGGTGTGGGACACTCTTGCAGGGCACTCTTGTAGGACACTCTTGTAGGGCACTCTTGTGGGACACTTTGTATGACACTCACTCTCGTGGCGCACTCTCGCGGGACACTCTTGTAGGACACTCTTGCGGGGCACTCTTGTGGGACACTCTTGCGGCACACTCTGGTAGGACACTCTTGTGGGGCAATCTTATAGGACATTCTTGTGGTACACTCTTGTAAGTCACTCTTGTGGGGCAATCTTGGGAGACTCTTGTTGGACACTCTTGCGAAAGGACATTCTTGTGGGACACTCTTGAGGACACTCTTGTTGGACATTCTTGTGGGGCACTCTTGCGGCACTCTGGTAGGACACTTTTGTGGGGCACTCTTGTAGGACACTCTTGCGGGACACTCTTGTGGCACACTCTTGTTTGTCACTCTTGTGGGACACTCTTGTAGGACACTCGGGGACGCTCTTGTATGCCAATCTTGCGGGACACTCTCGTAGCACACTCTTGTCGGACACTCTTGCGGTGGGACACTCTTGTGGGACATCCTTGCAGGACACTCTTGTGGGACACTCTTGTAGGACACTCTTGCACGGCACTCTTGTAGGACACTCTTGTGGGACACTCTCGTCAAAACAGGACACCCTTGTAGGACACTCTTGTGGGGCACTCGTGTGGGGCACTCCTATTGGACACTCTTGCGGGGCACTCTTGCGGGGCACTCTTCTTGGACACTCTTGCGGGACACTCTGCCACGAAAGTTTGCACCTCCACACGTCTAACACACACAAAGTACTGCGCCTGCCACGAAATGTGAACTCCGCCACACCTCGCAACCTCACGATTCCCTGCCGGCTACGAAAATCGTACTTCCACACCTCAAAACCCGCACAAAGTACTGCGCCTGCCACGAAAAGTGACAATATCATATCATGTTAGCTTCAACAAAACTTGCACCACACCACACGTTTGGAATGATTTCGACACGTTCAGAGCACGCTCGCGGCCACCAAAATCGTCATTTTAGCTGAGACTTGTCACGAAAACACAGCTTCGAAGCAACAGCCTGAAACGCAAATCCCAATGGCACAGCCACATCCAACACCCCCAAAACACCACCCGCCAAACGCCAATCCCAATGTGACTACGCAGAAAACTGCGATCCCCCGCCATCGACAAACTTCTCCAAAACCTTCCCCCGATGGGGACAAATTGCGGACCCCAGCGGACCCCACGACGATGACAAACGACGAGTCAGAGCACGCGAGGCGAACACAGTCCAACCCCCACACCCCCACTATACAGGAGAACCCTTCGCTACGCATTCAGGAAAAAACAAGACAGTGATCTGCGCTGAAACAGGTGAGGCGAGCCTTTTCTTCTCATCAATCAAGTTAACCACTTCCTCTCCAAGTTCTGGGCACTTGATGAAGACCTAAAGACCGGGCCACGCCGCTACGCAGGTGGGCCAAGGACAGCTCACCCACCTTGGCAACCACTGCCCATGGTTGTTGAAGGCATTCATCAAGATCGTGCAAAAGCAAGGCCTCATTGAAGCTATGTTGGACTTCTACAGCGACAAGCGGCAAGAACAGCAATGACCTGCCCCTGCGCTCGCCGTTCTGCCAAGAAACTACAACTGCTCTTGAGTCCGCACCTAGATGGACAAGGCTACACAAAGTTTCCTCCTCAATTGCGACGCTAAGCACATCGGAAGCGAAACATATTGTTTCCTCCTTTTGGCGCATGTTTTCCGCTGCGCAAGTTGACCTGGGCCCGAAAACGTACTTCTTCCACCTTACAGATGAACGATGCACCTGACAGGTTTGGAATGTATTCTGCGCAAGCAGACTCTTTATATATATATATATATAATATTATAAATCTTCAGATGCCATCTTTTCTCTCTTGCTTGCATGTCTCCACCGTGAATGCCTTTGGCATTGTATGCCCTGAAAGAGAAACAGGGAGGGGCCATTGGGCGGGCGCCTTGAGCGGAAAAGACACCACAGATTTAGTGTGACAAATCTTCAGCTGCCATCTTTTCTCTCTTGCTTGCATGTCTCCACCGTGAATGGCTTTGGCATTGTATGCCCACCACTTCCGGCAAACACGGCGCTCAACCACACACAGCAAGAAGAAGTCACACTCCACGATCATCTTGACCCATCTTTTCAGCCATAGGCTTCGTCTTCATCAGGGCATACCATGCATTCGTTGTGATTTTTGCACGTTGAAACAGCTGTGCTTGTTCCAGCACCAAGGGAAAAGTCGCTGCAACTCCCAAAACAAAAGACCTTTGTGTACTCGACATATGAAGCAGAAGTTGCATACCTGTAATCTCCTGGATGAAAATTTCCATCACTCTATGGTTCAACCAGCGCCCCCGTCTTCTCACCAATTCGCTGTCCTCGCAAGTTTGCATCATCCAAGTCGCACCTCCCAGCCTCAGGGACCCTAAGTCCAGAGAAGCTGCGTCCAGATGAAGCACCTTTGGAATGTCAGCAAAACGGTGGCGAAGAGTTTGGTCGGAAAAAGGCCAGAGCCTCTGATCGCTCTCCAAGTGTGAAAAAGCTAACTCAACCAGGGATAACCAGGCAACAAAAGGTCACTTCTGAAGAGCAGGCGTCATTTCGCTCGTCCTCAACAAAGATCCCCACCCAAGGGCCAGGATGCCGGCAACGTTCGTCCATCCCCACGACAGCACGATCGACAGAATGGCAAGCAGGATTTGCCACGGCATGGCTATGTGGTGAGAGAGCTTTTCTTCCCTCACCTAGCTAAAAGCCAGGGCCCAGGAGGCCTGGAGCTGTCTTCTAAGTATCGGTTTGAAGCTTGCTAAACTGTTGATTGTTTCAACGTAATGTGAATACGTTTTGCCAGCTTCATAAAGACGTCGGTCAAACAACAGAAGCGCTTCATTTATCTGCTCAACATCTTGCAAAAACAGATCAATTCCAATGCCAATGGACCTGCACCACTCCAAAAAGACTTTGAGGAGCCTCTCTCTCTCGAAGCAGAGGTGAGGTCCGTCACCGGACGTCCTTTTGGCAGTGACTCGATTGGCGGATTTGAACTCTCTTCCAATCTCCAGGCGTCGTCGGTCCAAAACAACCATGGCTCGGGGCTGCGGCAACTACCCTAACATGGCCGGCTAAGAGAAGCGCTGGACCTGCAAGGAAGAAGGAAAGAAGATAGCAAGAAGGGCCTTCGCCAGGAAATCCAAGCGTGGCGTCAAAATCCATAGAGGGGCCAGACTGAACGGAAGGGGTGTGGAAGCCATACGAGTGTGGTGACGAAGGAGTAGGCCACTGAAGGCCATGTCTGCGACGCCTGGGCGACAGAAAATCCAAAAGGGGAAATCCACAAAGTCCAATAACGAGCCTCACCCAGTTTGAAGCCCAACGCCGCAAGGGAGGAATGGCGAGCAAAGCACGTAGCCTGTCACTGCTCAGAGAGGAGATGTCCAGCATGCATCCAGGTGGTCGCACCTCTCGTCCACGAGTAGGATCATCCGCTGTTTTCAACCTTGTTGGCGCAAAGGGGAGAGTGAAGTATAATCCACCTGCCAAACAGATTGCATTGTATCGGAAGAGCAAGGCTGTCAGCGCATGAACCTTCCCTTTGAAGCAGCACATCGAACAACATTTGAATCAACCATGTTCAGTCGGAGATCGGGCCTTCTCCTCTGCAAGTCTGAGCAATGATGACATCTCATGTAAATTGATGCGCCTTGCCGTCTTGAAAGCCCAAGAGCGCTCCTCTTTCCATTTGCCTGTCATGGCAACAAAGTTCACAAACTGATTCTCGAGGCCCTTCACAGATATGTCACCCACCTCCTGCAGCCACCTCTTTCTCCGCAAGATAGCATCCTGGAAGCAGAGAGCAGAGAGCAATCTCAAGAGCCAAATCATCTGTGTAGGATGCTGCAGACTTCGTGTACTTGCCCTCAACCGTGATATGGTGGCGGTCGCGGCTGCACCTTCGAGCCAATCTGCTTATGTCCAAATGGGCTGCCATGAACCTGAAACTTTTGAGATGCTGTGACCCAAACGCACAAGAGTCGCACCTCTGGATACTTATCTTCTCCTTTTTCTCAAGCGCGATCCACTGGCGCAAGTAGCGCATCATCCCAGTCCAAGGTTGTTCGAGGAGGGCCGGCAAGAAAAGCGAGTAGCAGATCTGCATGATTGCTTTAAAGCTCTTAAAGCCAGAATGTTCCCTGTCCTCGTCTGCTCATCCGCTGTGTCATGTCCGAAAGGCCGGAGTTTCGACCTGGCACTCTTCAGATGGTTTGAACTCAGCATATAGGTAATCCAAGAGACCACACGCACCAATCTGAGATCCAGCTCCCCGGTAAAAGATATGTCAATGGGCAGCCCCACCACCAGACCAATGCGATCTGCTGCCTTTGTCACCTTTGAATAGCCAGCGAAAGTCATACATGAAGGCTATAGGCTATAGGCCTCTCCAGACAAACAGAGTCATCCTTTTGAGGCTCCTCATCATCAATGCCTTCTTCAGAAGCCCCCAAGCGAAGCATCAGATTCTCAAAAGGCGTCCTAAGACGGCTATATGCACCCTTTGTCCTGCAAGACCTCCACAGCTGTTCCACTTGTGTTGTAGGCAGCCAAACGGAGGCGATCGCACCATGTGTATCAGATGCGTCTGTTGCAAAGACTTTCTCTTCAAAAAGGGCACCAAGGTCGGTAACTGCCAGAGGCGCTAGGGCTGCAGCTATCACCAACTCATTTGCCACCCTCCTAGAGAGTGGAATCATCCTCGGGCGCACGCCATCGATCTGGGACGCGTCCACAACTTTGCGCACATCAAAGAAAACGCCCATCAGAGGCCTCCTGTATAACATATTGGGCGTCCATTGAAGAGCATCCGATGTATGTGAGAGTTGTGCCAGCTGAAGGGTCGTAGTGCTCAAACTCAGTCGCTTCGCAACTGGGGCTCCACAGGTAGCAACACCTTGTGTGCAAGCATGGGAACCAGAGTTGAGCTCAGCATCAATAACCTTGCTTCTGACGTCACCTTTCACATCTTTATGCGGGGACCCCAAAATCATATGCTTGCTGTAGATCTCCTGGCTCTTGTCAATGCAAGGCAATGCTCGATCCTCAACTGAGATGGCAAAGTAGTCGTCAATGACCAATCCCTCTACTAAGGAGGATCCAGCAATTGGCCGATTCGATTCCAGCCTACTTGTCTTATCACTCAAGAGGCCAACGGATTTCAGGAGGTTCTCATGGGCCTGGGTCGCAAGCTCGACACCACCGTGGTCTCCTTGGAAGATGGACCCAAAGGATATGTAGTACTCACCTTGCAGCAAAGAAGGAGGCCGAGGCCAGGAATGCATCCAATTTGCATCACCATGAAGCATATCCCCAGCAACATCACGTCTCCTCTTAGAGACAGCAAAGTTGTTTTTCTTTGCCAAAAAGTTTGCAAAAGCCTCAAGCCCAGACAACTGACCACCAGAAAAAGTAGGACCGACCGTGTTAGCAGCCGCTTTGTCATCAGACACATCGAACTGGTGGTAGAAGTCCCTCCTGTCCGTACAGAAAATGCGCAGACACTGAGATCTCGGGTTCAAGCTGAGTTCCACAAGATCAGCACCACTCGGCAGCCTGGAAGATGGTCCCAGGAGCCTATCCTCAGCATAGTTGCGCCCTCTCCTGTCCCCAGTTACCCGGGTCAGCCAGCATGGTTTTTGGGGTACTTCATGAATACGAAGCAAACCTTGACAATCCCATATCTTTGCCAGCTTCAGGACTTCATCTTCGGGGTCACACCTGCCAGGAAAGGTTCCAGGAAGCGGCTCTCTGCAGGAAAGGATCAAATCAGGGCATCGATATGCCATGCACAAGTCATCATCCAGAAACTCTGTGGCATCAAAACTGCCTGCTCCAACCAGTTTCAATCTAGCTGCGTCCAGAGATCTATAAGGGCGAAGTTCAGGAAGCGCTCCACTGTCAAGGGGAACCTCATGGCCCTGGAACTGATGCCCATACGGACCACATGCCCCTATCTTTGTCACAACACTCGAAAGCTCACCGCAGCCAAAATGCTTTTGTGAGCGGAAGAAGGGCATCTCATCAAAGCTCTTTCGCAAGGAAAGCTCCTCAAGCCATCATGTAGAAAGTTCAAAGCCATCACAATGACAAGTAGAATCTAGAACCCGCTTGAGAAGGATCCTTCTTCGACCACGAAGCGAAAGGCCTGACGGCATCCTGCAGAAAATGCCCGGAAAGGGCACTGGAACTGCTCGATGAAGCTGAGTCTTCGGAGGAGGACTCACCATCTGCAATACCTTCGGCACGGATAAAGGAAGGCCAGCCCCTGAATTGAGGCCGTCTGACAAGGCCGGAAACCTGACTGATCTGCCAGCGGGCGATTCTCCTGCATCTTTTGCAGAGGGCTTTGAGGAGGCCGCTTTCTCCAGCGCGTCTTGCCTCGTAGCTATCACCTTCACCTGGTCCACGAGGAGGTTCAACCGTTCCAGGATGGCTGAATTGGTATAATCCGTTTCGCTGCTGCCTTCTTTGCACCCGCCTTTGAGGCAGGAGGAGACTGTCCCACCGGGTCTTCTTGAGCCGAGAGAAATTGGAGCTCCTCCATCGCCACGTTCAGCAACCCAAGTGGTGACCACTGAAATCAAGGTGGCCACATCTGGAGGGCTTGCACAAAGGACTCATGAAAAGGAGTAATCTCTGCATCACTGTGAGTGACCGGATCATATTCCCGACAAAAGGACAGCAGCTCATTCCCGACGTCCAAAACAGAGACCGGTCCAGCTATTCCTAGAGGAACAACGCTTCCATCATCTGTCTCCTCCACCAAGGCCACTTCAAACATAGAACCTACCCCCAACCAAGAAGGGTAGGATGCTGGGTATGTGCCTTCCAACATCATATTGTCATCGATGACCCCGTGCGGGATGCATATAGGAGGAAGCCATCACCCCGACCGAGTAGAGGAACGCCAAAAACTTCAACTGTCGCTCCTTCCACCACAAAGTCCAGCCCCACCACAAGGAGCATATGGTCGGACCCAGAACCTGCCATCTTCACTTGTGAATACTGCATTGAAACACCGGCGGTGTATCAATGCCTGCTGCTGCACAAAACACTTGCACCTCTGTGAGCGAGGGGAAACCTTGATATACTGGGCCACAATCACCACGAGGAGCGACAGCCAGGAGAGCACGAAGCTCTGAGACTTTGCGGACCCGGACTGATTGAGAGAAGGCGCACGAAGGATCACCCACTGAGTATCTGACAGGGAACCCACACTTTCCTGCAGCTCGTACTCGGTGTGGTTCACCAATGAGGACCAGGCTAGCCAGCCAGCACGCCAAGCCCGACGAACACGATCTTCGGGCAAATCTTCGATGCAGCTGACACCAAAAGAGAATGAGGCACTTGAGTGGGGCCTTCTTCAACTCCAGTGAGTTCCACAAGCTCCCAACCGGCCTGAGAGACAAAAGGCACCTGCACTGTAGTAGATGAAGAAGCTGCCGCCTCAGCTCTCTCGAATGCTAAAACCAGCCTGTTGACCGCTGCCACCAATGATTCGATGTCAGCACGGGTAGCCGGAGCACTCATTCAAGATACCCAGCCAGTCGGAGTCGTCTGGCCAAATGAGCAGGCCTGACCACTTCCCCCTCCGATTCCGGTCCACCCCCCGTAGATCTGAAGGATGGCTTGCACACCCCCAAGACAGAGAAGGCCACGAAGATGCCAAGAAGACAGGCAATCAGGAGCAATAATGAAGGGGGCAGGCCCAGCGCAAGGAGAGGTCAGATAGGGTGGACAAACCCTCACTGACCTGGAGGATACGCTCAAACATGCTTTGAGCCAAAAAGACACCACAGATTTAGTGTGACATATATAGCAAACCCCACTCCTGCACCGTTACACATCTTGACGCTGCACACCGCCTCTCCGAATTCCCAAGCCCATGTCGGGCGTTTAATGCATCCTCCTTCCCTCCTTCCCTCGGTTCTCTGTTTTTGGGTCCCCTCTTCGCTGTTGCTACAATGGTTCCTGTATACGTATGCTCTTACGCAATGCCACCACATGTTCACTCCAACAACTTTTGACTCAAGGTACATGCGTGTGGAAAAAATGTCTCATTTGCCTTCGCTCGGACGTGTCAAGGTGTAAGTTTGATCCTGGGTAGATTGACATACAGTGCTGCTACTGCGGGGTATTTTACCCTCAAAGTGGTAGCGCGTCTTCGTTGCTCCAGAAAACCGTGTTCCGAAGATCGCACCTGCTTAACATCCTGGCTCGAGGAGGAAGATTGCATAGACGATTGGTACACAACTTTCCTGAAGGTGTGCTGGATCCCGTTTTAAGGTTTGTCCTTTTAAGAAGGCAAGAGCCTCCGGGGTGAGCCGTCCTAATGGTAACCACAATACCAGACGCTGGAAGGTTACGCACCTGGCTACGGATCACCTACAAAGCCCGCACAAGTTTATCCATATGCATTCTGTCGCGCCATAATTCGTAGACCAATCGTCTGCTCGGGAATTGCAATTGATTGCCAATTGCTGAATCATTTTTAATTACTTGAAGACATAACAAACAACATTGTATCACACAATGAGCTGAAGTCACTTTGTCTTGCTTGGTCAAGTTGATTGTGAATTGACGCACTTCTCTAATGAGACCGCGTTTTCAACGCATGCTCAGCACAAAACCGCTCTACCGGTTGTGCACTCGTTTGCTGACCCCCCGATCCCAACTACTAATCACGAGATCAGAGAAGCGATGAATCGTTTGAGTCATCTTGGCCTCAGTTGGTTTTCGATATTTGATTGTTCATATGATTTTGTATGTTTTTGGTTTGAATTTTAATGTGTCCTGAATGTTTTGGAAATGGTTTTGGTCGTGCTTTTAAGTTCTTGTTTGCTGAATTCTTCAATTCTCTGTTTAACTGACAGGTTCTTGGCCAAAAGCCCCAAGCGCGCTTGCGAAACAAAACTGGGCGTCCTTGCAAACAAACAAAAGAACTCTTGTGCCTTGGGGTCTGGAATTGGTGACCGACGACTCCCTGCTCTGATCCATCGATATAATAGATACACCACTAGCACCACTAGGAAAAATTTACTAGCCCCCTTCGGGGCTAGTCCCACTCTACCTACGTACATAGGGTTGGGTACGATGATAGAGTACAATAAATACAAATTACTATGAGCAACTGCTTGACTGTAGCTGCAGGTTTGATGTAGCTGCTTTGGCTAACCAGTGCAACTTGCTGCTGGCTGCTTCAACCTTAAGATTCAGCTCAACTTGCTGAGGGCTGCCAACTAGATCTTTAATACGCCTATATTTTCTAGACGTAGGCGCCAGCTGGCTACCGGCTGCTTGCCTCTTCCTGCCCCTTCTAGGCCTAATTTGCACACACAGCGCCCGCACATTTGCCTGTCTGCGCACGGATGCCTGTCTAGCCTCTGCAACTTAGGCTGCCCAACTGCGACACGCACTCAAAGTCTGAGCGTTCGTCAACTGTTTGGCTCCTTGAAGCGCCACCGGTTCCATGGTAAAGCTCCAGCAGCCATGGACAACGCTATCATCAACGCTCGCTGATCTTCTGGAGAAGCGAAAGCCTGGGAAACACACGCAAATCCAAACCACCCCCCAAACAGCATTGATGGCCTTCCGCAGCAGCGACCCAGCACGCTCCGCAAAATCTGGAAGACGTTTGTGGTGCGCCTGCTTCAGGCAGGCGTTGAAATGTCGAAGTCGTATTGCAGCGTTATTTTTGTTAAATGTTTTTGACCTGTCACAGTCTATTTCTTGCGCTCCCATGGCCAACCTTGGGCCAGCGCTGCGATAGCTTAGAAATTTTGCGCAAGTGCTATCATGATGTATCTCCAAGCATGTCTATGAATAAATTGGCGCTATTGTTGCCTTGTGGCTGCGACCGATTCATGAAGGTTGCTTCCCATCCAAATATTGACAAAATTGGAACGCGTTGATTTGTTTAGTATTCCTTGGTACCTACGTGAAGTGCAGGTTTCCAGGCTGTAACATAAGTCATTTTGCTTCGAACTACAGCTTGGTAGACGCGAAACTTCCAACCTGCTGCACCTGCTCCTGCTCCTGCTCCTGCTCCTGCTCCTGCTGCTGCTCCTGCTGCTGCTCCTGCTGCTGCTCCTGCTCCTGCTGCTGCTCCTGCTGCTGCTCCTGCTGCTGCTCCTGCTGCTCCTGCTCCTGCTCCTGCTCCTCTTCCTGCTTGTCCTGCTGCTCCTGCTCCTGCTCCTCCTGCTCCTGCTCCTGCTGCTCCTGCTCCTGCTGCTCCTGCTCCTGCTGCTCCTGCTCCTGCTCCTCCTGCTCCTGCTCCTCCTGCTCCTGCTCCTCCTGCTCCTGCTCCTCCTGCTCCTGCTCCTCCTGCTCCTGCTCCTCCTCCTCCTCCTCCTCCTCCTGCTCCTGCTCCTCCTGCTCCTGCTCCTCCTGCTCCTGCTCCTCCTGCTGCTCCTCCTGCTGCTCCTCCTGCTGCTCCTCCTGCTGCTCCTCCTCCTCCTGCTGCTGCTGCTGGTGCTGCCGCTGCTGCTGCTGCTGCTATTTACATATTTTTCGCCAAACAGTGTGGACACACTTAGTAGGGGTAAAGCAGCTGATGCATAGATCGCCGACGTCAACGGCTAATTCACTGCTATTTTCCAGTAAATTCATGTCTCTCGACATCCTCGAAATGCTTTTCGACTGCGCACACTCGCAAAATCTGCGTGGGCGCGGCGGGCGCTTCTGGCGACTGCGCTCTTGTTGTGGTGCCGCGCGCATTTTCGCGGCGCAAGGGATCGGAGCGGTTTTACTTCGAAATGTAGATTTCGTGGCAGGTACAGCACTTTGGACACGGTGGTGATCTTCAACGAGCTCTGATTTCGTGACAGGTGCAGTGAATCGTGACTTATGGAGATGTGGCTCGTTTGCAGATTTCGTGGCAGGCGCAACACATGGTGAAGAACCTCGAAGTGTCGCTTTCGTGGCAAGCACAGCACTTTGTGAACCTGCATTCTCATTCTCACTCACACTCACACTCACTCGCTCGTTCACTCACTTGCTGCGTGCTTTGGTGACTGTGCTCTCAGATGGTGTGCTCTTTAGACTTCTGCAGACCTGTGAAACTCTTGCTCTAAACCGGTTTTGCGACATCTAGATCGCTGACTACGCCCACTCTCACTCTCACTCTGACTCTCTCGCTCTCACTCATACTCATAACGCCCAGACTCACTCCGACTGCTCTCGCATGTATGCTCTCTTAGACCGCTTTTGCGACATCTAGACTACGTCCGCTCTCACTCCCACTCTGACACTATCGCTCTCACTCACACTCATAACGCCCAGACTCACTCTCATTCACATAATTCTCATTCTCACTCACGCTCACACTCACTCGCTCATTCACTCACTTGCTGTGTGCTCTGGTGACTGTGCTCTCAGATGTGTGCTCTTTTTTCCTTAGACTGGTTACTACTAGTTCTCTTTCTTCCTCTTTAAACCTGCATTTGCTTTTTGCTAGCATGTTTAAACCTGTTCTCTATTTCTGTTAACACCATCATTTCGTTCTACTTTTACTTTTTTGGACCATGGTCGTTTCTGTTCTTGTGTTCCGCTGTGGCATTTTGTGGGGTCCACTTCTGTAATTTGCCTTTCTCCACCCAAGAGCGATGGAGAGCGATGGCAGCCAACCGCCTTCAACCTAAGAGCGATGGCCTCCAACCTAAGAGCGATGGCCTCCAACCTACTAGCGATGGCCTCAAACCTTCTTTTTGACATTTTTTGGAACGTCCATTTGACCTCGCCTCCATTGCGAGGTCTTTTCCCCAAAGCGACCGCCTATTTCGAGAGAAAAATTGCTCGATTCAAATTCGGCTCGCTCGAGTGCGCTGGTACTAGTGTGGGACAAGCGCCGTAGCTGCCGCTGAAGCACCCACTCCATCAAGGGGAAAGGCGTGCAAAGCAGAGTTTTTCCTTTGCGGGGCATTCTGAAAATTCCTGCCGTTTCATCCTTTGTCGCTCTATTTCTGTTTTTGTGTAGCAATCTTTGGCCAAGTTGGATCTGGAAGGCGCCAGTGAAACAGATCGAAGGCTCCTCCCCTCTTAAGCGCGCGTCGCAGCGCCCCTGCTACTGCGGTGGCAGCTCCAAGCAAATGGCGCGCGCGGCCTCCAACCTAATAGGAATGGCCTCCAACCCTCCAACCTACTAAGAGCAGAGGTTGCAGATCAGGTATGATACGCCTTGCTGGCGCAGATTCAATTGGCCCCGACTGCACGCATGTGTGGGTATGCTTTGCTGGCCCGAAGCATCGCAACCGAACGTCAAATCCAGATAGTGTCCTTTGCCGACACAGCAGTGGCCTCATAGCGGGTCGGATTGTCGCTTGCCCAGGCACTGCAACTGCCAAAGGCGCGAGCATACGGGAGTTTGGACGTCTTTCGATTTATTTGGATTTACAGTTCGGCGCTTTGCTTCGGATTTTGGAGGCGATCGCTCTTAGGTTGGAGGGCATCGCTAGTAGGTTGGAGGCCATTCCTATTGGGTTGGATGTATTTGAAATGTATTTGTGAATCTTCTTTCGGCGACGGAGAGCTCTTGCGACGCAAAATGGCTAGCCAAATATTGCAATTTAAAAACACGCCGCAAGACCAACATGGACTCTCTGTCTACTTCCACGTCGTCCTCAACTACAGCCGCCGCCGCTGCTGACGATCTTCCAGGCTGGCGGCAGATTCGGTTTCCAACATGTACGCGCGCGAGATATATACTTCCCAATCCACCCCCCTCCTCACAACAGCCTGGCCTCGATGCGCATATGTTTTTCGGTCTCTGTTGGACAGAATCGACTAACTCATCCCTGCAGGCGACGCCCCTCCAGTACCTGGAACGGTTGAGGACCGCCCGCTGAACTATGCAGATCATCGCCATCCAGCTGCGCCTTACAGCGACGCACTGATTACACACAATCATTTCGTGCCCGACGCGCGCTCGGTGTGTTCTGCACTTTTGGCTTTCGGGAATGACTTTCTACTTCCTCCTCCTTGGTGCTCGGGTGCTTCACCTCCGCTCACTACTCTCTCAGGGTTCAAGCATGAGCTTCTACTTCCCACTACTTGGGGGCGCTACTCTCTCTGCTTCCGACACCCCTGCGCTCCTCCCTTTTCCCGAAAGACTCTTTGATATGCACTCTACACAGTTTGGGGTCTCTTGCAGGGATAACTATGCTTTTATTTAAACCAAATCGAAATTGCAACAAAAAAGGGTTGTACGAACCAGAGTAGACTGTTTGCAGCGTACGTGTTTGGTCGCAAGGAGTACAGTGTCGTCGGCGAAATAAATTTGGTCAAAGCTAACGCCAGACTTTCTAACTCCTAAAGTGGGTCTATCCATTTGACGGGCTAGATCACTGTCTATGAACTTCATCAATGAGAAAAGCCATATTTCAGATCGTTGCTGTTTCGCCGACGATCTTCCAAACTCATCCTCAACAAAACAGCAGTGGCTGCGGCAACAACTCTTCATGACCTCAACAAAGTGGTCATGACCTGCAGGGCCTGAGGCCTACGCAACGGCTATGTACAGTTGGTTACGCTGAACCTTATCAAAAGCTTTCTCCCAAAGCTAAAAAGGTAAAAAGGCGATGTCAAGATTTCAACCCAGCTGCTCTGCAGTGTGTTGCATGTGCCTTGTTAAAGCAATGCCTGGGAACTGCTTCTTAGTCTAAACCCATACAGCGTAGCAGCACCAGCACCACAACCCTGGCAGCGGAACCCCGCAGCGGCACCAGCGTCCGCACATCTGGCAGCGGTACCCTGCCGCGGCACCAGCACCCAGGCTCTAAAGCGCACACAGGCACCTCTTCGTACACTTGAAGCAAGAGCCCCAATAGCTCTCGCTATCTTGTGGAAATGAATAATGATTCTAGTATAGATGCCAAGTGTGATGAAATTTTTCCAACTCATTGCGGGTCACCTGTTGCCACGGCCACAAGGCATCTCTAAACAGTGACCATACACTGGCCAGATGAAAGTTGCGCTTGTTGACGTTGAAACTCATGACAACCCTATCCCCCTAGAATCCTACACCATAGACAAGGGAAGGTGTGGGCGGTCATTTGTCACCCCTGAAAGCCTTTTATAGTTATAAATTTAAAACGGTGTGATAATTGACCGTCCCACACCTGCCACGAAAATCAGACTTGTTAATTCGATCCGCCGCTGACCTCAGAGTGTTTTGTAAGAAGGCTAACAAGCATAAACTTTTGTCTGCCTGAAGTATACGCCAAACCCGAAACCCCAACTTTATGCCTGCCACAGCGTTCCAGCCATGGCAAAGCCTGTGCTCCAAACAAACCAGCCGCGAACTACGTTTTTCCATCACAGGAAGAATCCCGCTTTTTACTAGCTTGCATTGAAAGCCTGAAAGCCGCGAAATGTGTCACTTGTTCCATTAGAAGCAAAAACTGTCCGGCAACTTTGGCAATCCATCCAAGCGCCTGGTTCAACTCATCCAAGAGGTCTGAGGACGAAAAATTTGGCTGCCCAATGTCTGCAGCATCCAGCATCCTCTGGCGGATGCGAACATCCATAGCCTGACAGAAACACATCAGAGTCTTTTCGCGCCTCCTTTCAGCGGACTCTCCGAATGCGTTTGTATGAACCCTGCCTCCACAGCAACTGAAATTTCCGCATCTGCTCCAATTGAAGATACTTCAACATCCCAAGGTGTCCCGCCATCCCTTCGCGAAATGCGTACGGATGAATACCTCGTCTTGAGAACAAAAGGAAAAGGTGACCAGTGGCCAGAACAAACTCGTGAGGTATATCCTGAAGCAACCTCATGCCATTTTGGGCCATTTGGGCGGTTGTCAACACTCCTTGTCACTTGTCCAATCTCATGACATCACACACACAATTTTAGACGTCAAGCTTCCAGGGGAAGCATCGCTTTCTTTTGGTTGTATGACAAACATAGTAAGGATGTGTTTCAACTTGGTCATGTAACAAAATCTTGTAGGATATCGCTTTGGAGGGCTCATCACTTCCCTAGGACTTTGTTATCAAGTCTTCTGCTCTCATACTGTGTTTGACTCTTGCTCTTTTGACTTTCTCTGGCATTGTAATCCAATCTTAGTGAACATCCTATTTGTATTCGCAGGGTCAGCTCTAATCCCCTAGCTAACCCTGTCTAGCCGTTAAGCGTCCTTTAAGGTCTACCTTGAGAATTCACGCTACGCGGTCCATGGGGATGAGGTGAATTTCAACACACCCCTTTACTAGGAGCTACCCGTAGGGAAAGTTCTGGGAGGAATGACTTCTAGCGACGAAGGACTCATATTAGAAATCCCTCATCAGGCTCGCGCATGCAACTATACAAGTACAACCTAGTGGAGTCAGCGGCATGTTGTTACACATGCTATACCTATCTTCCTATAGACAGTGATGAAAAAATGTTCACCCTTCGCCTAACGTAGTCCAATTAAGGACACCATCGCATTGTGAGACTTCGCGGTGAAATGTCATCTCACAGCGCGTCAAAAGGCGAACTATTTCTCAACACTTGTAGGCTGTAACGGCTTACCTCTTAAGGTAGCTACCAGGTAGCTGTTCAACATTTCCTCTTCACAAATTTGTAAGTCCAAATCTATTCGTCCAATCATACCAACCGTCCTGCATCCACGTCCAAAGTTCCATATTGCTGGGCCAGTAACTCTTAATTAAAGGGATCGTCCAATTGCCATTATTGTATATTCGGAGAATCTGCCCGCGTCAACGGTCTTCGATCACGGGGACGATAGTTCGGGAATCGTGACTGCAGTGACTGCCCAATTACGGGAGTGCTGGCCGCAGACGAAGAACTTGGTGGCAAAGGCGGAGGTGGCAAAGTAGGGTGAGCCCATACACTTGAATCATGAGCTTGGTCATACGGGCCATCCCGTGACTTGTTCCTGTGGTATCCTTTGCCCTTCCCTTTTACGGAAGCATTTGGTTGCAAGCGGTTGTAAAGCTCACTGAGCGGTGGCGGCTTTAGAACAATGTCGAACGCAGGTGGATTGGCTGTCGCGGGGAGACCAGTCCAGCTGACTGGTGGGGGACAATCTTGCCGCTCGTGACAGACCTGGCGTAGGTGGATCTGGAATGGTGTTCCGTTTAAGGAAACTTTCCTTCGGAGGAACTGGTGAACGCGGCGTAGGCGGAGGTCTGTAAACAGATACCGTATGCGTCCCTTTTATGGGAGCAAGAGGCTTCGGAACGTTTGGCGGTGGCACCCTGTCGTCGGACCATGTTGCAAAACGATCATCGCTGCCTCGTTCATCTTTCTTCTTCCACTGTAGCTGCGGCCTCTAGTCAACATCAACTGCGCCAGTAGACGATGAAGATACACGCTTGCGCTGCAATGGCTGCCTTGTTACAGGCGCTGGGGAACTCTGTGCTTCTCGCTGGCCGAATTCTAAAGAAAAGGTCTTCGGGTCTCCAGAATTCATCGTCGTCGATGTCTTGCCCTGCATCAGCGAATTTAGGCAATGGTGTAGACATCCTTTGCTCGATATTCATAAAACCGAAATCTGCCAAGTCCTTGCCACGACTGCGCTGTTGCATGTTCAAGGATTGTTGAGCGTTCCTCTGATACTGCGCTATTGCGTATTGCTCATTCTCCAAGGCAAACTCGCGCAGAACACTGTAAATGGCTGGGATGTCCCCTCTAAGGGGTCCGAATATCGTGAATATCACCGACAACGTCGTCGGTGGGAATGATCGAATCCTGATCCTTGAATTTTGACTTCATCGCGGCCGTTGCCGATTCAGGCAGCGTACTGTCGAAGTGAAATGAAATTCTCGACGGTCACTGACAAGAAATTTTTCGTTGAGTCCTGCTTTGAAGCAAGTATGGAGGTTGTCGACGCCGCATCGGATGAACGCGAGCTTGGCCAAGTCCACGCGGTCCTCGGGTCCAACTCGCTGATCACGGACCTGCCCTTCGCACGCTGTTTGGCGTTGCGAGTTGGGGCTGGCAGTTGCAATGATGCAAAGAGGTCCTCCTGCGTTGCGTCGAACTTTGTAGAAGCTTCTTGATCGTCTTTGCCCGTCGCATTTGTAACCTCATGAATTTAGAAACAGGTCCATCTGTCTTTGCACTCTGAAATACTGCGCCGCAACGATAACAAGATGCCATTCCTGCTAAGGAAAGCGTTGCGCACGGGTTGTCAACTGAAAGTTCGGAGATGAAGAAAAATGCCCACTCTCAATCTGACCAGGTTCAGTGCGACCGGTGGCTTCCATCTCCTCCTTCTTGACTGCACTCTGCTGCGCGGTGCACTCTTCTGGTGTAGCGTCATCAATGTCAACTGTTGCAACCTCTTCGTTGACGTTCCCTCGTATGAGTTCAGCTTCTTCCTGCTTGGCGTCTGGCTCAATTCTTGCTGGTTCAATAAATAGCAACAGGCCATGAATAGAACACCTCAGGCTCCGCGTTTAAGCGGGCTTTGGTTGCAAACAGGATACACGTATTGGGCACATGGTGGCAGGCGATGACCGCGTTTGAATTGGTAAGAAATAAATCAACACCCGCGTCGATCATCTCGGCAGTGGAGAAGCAAAGTTCGACTGGTCGATCAGCTTGGAGGCCTGACACCGCCGCCCGGTCTCCCAGGGGTGAAATTGAGAAAAATGAATTCCCTTTCGACTTCTTGCCTCGATTGCCGCCGCCTGGCAAAAGGCCGTTGGCGATGATCGAACGCGCTGGTTGCTCACAAGTCTGATGATACAACCGTGGAGGAGCATCCCTATTCTCACGCGCCACCAAATTGGCAGCATACGCCGACGAGCCCGTTGATCAGGCCCGTCAGAAGAATCCAGGACAATAAGGAAGTCGGTAGTGGACGACATTTCACCAGACCTGTGCAGAGGTCTTGGAGAGCTATCGTGTCCGATAAAAAAATGCCAAAAAAGAACGCAAACATTAAACATCTTGACCATTATTGTTTGTAAAAGCATTCATCCACCCTACAAATGAACACAGCCAATAGCACAGCAAAGGCAAGGAACGACACTGCTCCAGCAATTTCATCAACGAACTTGACTCCAAGAGCATTCAGCTGCTTCTTGACCAAAGACATGGTATGCCCAGCAGTTTTCCCGTGAACTTCTTGCAGGTCACTCCTCAACTAACGACACCGGTAGAACATATTGCAGATTCATGTCCGTCTATGACTACTGACTACTCCAGAGTTGGCAAGTTGGCAAGGGAACAACAAGTAACTGACTATCGCTTGCGCTAAAAGCATTCAAGACTCACGCATTGCTTTTTGTACACAGCTCCGTAGAAGTCTCCACATTTCCAGAGATCATGGTCAGCGATGTAGGCAGCAGACGCTTCAGTAACCATGAGCTTGCGTCGCTGCCATATGTTGGAGTTGGTCGCGTCGGACGTGAAGGACACACATGCAAGCTTCCACTCCGCTTCCATGATTGGTATGTGGCTTTGAGCAACTTGCGCCGGGAGGTTGGAGAAGCAATAATCATAGAGGTCCACCATGAAAGCTTGCATAGCAGCGATCAAAGCTGAGCCACACATGCTCTCAAATCGTGTGATAGGTTGGCCACTGACATCTTCCAATACAACTAACACAAAGTCACCCGCAGAGATGTTGCTCACGTTGCGGCGAAGAGCCATAGAGAACATTGATTCCCGACTAAACCGGGCTCCTCTGCCTGACCGGCCTTTACCCAGTCTTACAACCTGAAACTCTTGGTTCTCTGCGCTTTTGGCAATTTGCTTGTTCAACTTGGTAATTGGCTTTCTGACTGCGCGTGAGGCATGCCCTCTCCACACGCGTTTTCTTTTGTAAGGCTGAAATCTTGCTTTTAGCTGAGCTGAAATCAAGGGCTTGCTTGGCAGCAACCAAAGCCAGATCAGAATGAGGAAGCTCTGCAAAAGCTCGTGTCAACGCTGCCCGCCTCCCTCCATCAAACTCTGGCGCGCTCCAGGGATGGTGCTTGCCATGGTCGGTTCCATGGTTGGTTCTTGAGCGGGCACAACTTGGTTCACAGGGTTATCACCATATGCAAGGATCTCAATCTCAACTCTCAAGAAGGCATCGGGTGGCTCAACACCATGTCTCCGCAAAGCGATTGCTAGCGGCAAAGCATCAACAAAGTGGCTGTAGATGGCGCTGTCATACCGGGGAACCTGAACAAACCCCGTGCTGTTCCCACAAATCTACGTGCATGAGATGTGTCAAACTCTCCCGTAATCCATCAAATCGCACTCAATCGAACCCCACAATCGTAATCGCCAAAAATCGAATCAAACTAGAATCGAATCCCAAATTCCAAACAAAAGTATTCTAGTCTAGTCTAGACCTAGACAGATTAAAGAAATCAAATGCTGGTTGAATACGGCCTGGAATCACGCTAATTGTTTTAGTCAAAACACCTAGTCTCATTCAACACCAATCTAGCCGTTTCTCGATCTGCTCTGCTTCCAAACCCTCGCCCCTCCAAAATATTGCCCAGCAAAGCTCGCAATCGCTCTACAGGTAGAAGAGTGCGCCCGTCACACTCCACAGAGTAGGCTGCAGCAAACTGGAAAAGCTGGCGCTGAGAAGACGAGAAGGCTGCCATGACTTGCTGGCGCTCAGCTGGGAGCAAAAGAGCAAAGGGATATAGAGAACATGAATGGTGAAAAACATCAACTGCGCTGCAAAAAAAAGGATACATACATGGAGCTTGAAAGTTCCCCCAACGCCTAAGTTTAAGCGCTGAA